TTCTTATTCCCTTTGAAGTCAGCTGGATAGCCAACGATTTCATAGCAATTTTCTTTAATGTGCCCATGTTTGTGACAGTGAGCATATTTGAGTGAAGAGTTGCCATGTCTACATCCTCGTCCTCGGCCTTGCCCGCTACCCATAGCCATAACAGCTCCTACTATAAGTGAAGACTTATTTGATCAAGTGATAAGTTTCTGAGTTTCATCTTCCATAATCATATTGTAGGCTTAGTTGATAGACAGAAGGGGAGTCATCAAGAGTATCTGACTCCTTGCTTGACTATAGGACTCACTGAGTCCCATCAAAAATTGCAGAAGATGTTATTGCATTAGATCAGAATAAACCTTTGAAACTTCACACTTACATGTCGGTACCGCAATCAAGGAAGATTATTCTTCCCAAAGCTCTTTCAGCCTTATGTAATAGCTCGACACCATGAGAGACCCCTGAATGTAAGAGTTAATGTCACGGTGTATAGAAAAAATGCGAGATCCAGTAACCTTATCAAACCTTTCCTTGAGATCTGTCCAGACGAGAGTCGCATTATGAGCATATGCCATTCCATTGGCTAATTCCTTCAAAATAGAGCTCAGCAACCAGGAAAGCACGATAGCATTACACCATTCCCACTAAGCATAAAGAGACGGATCTTCAGCTTCCTTCTTGCAATATCCATCGACAAACCCGAGTTTGTGTTTTTCGAGCATCGCAATCCACATCGATCAACTCCATATGGTGTAATTCTCAAGACCATAAGAACATGAGGCATGAGAGGTAATGCTTGCATATCGGAAGGATGAAGATACAGCTCATGAGTAAAATCGATGGGAGCAACAACATTTCCTTCATCGCTTGGCATATTGAATATCTCTGTGGTTTGTGAGAAGAAGAATTTTGAGAGGAAGAGGATGAAATCTCTAGAAAAGTGATGGAAATTGTAAAACCTAAGGCAAATGAGAAAGATCGAGGCATGGGCAGATCATTTTCTCAAGAGTTCAAAACGCACAGCTTTCACCATTTTGAGTAGTGTGTCGGGTCAGTGCACCGATGGATTCGGATTCTTGTTTTTCCGGTCCATTTCTTAAACTGGATACAGTTTCTTGGTCGATAAAAAAATATCTGCTAGGGAAGATTCTTGGTGGGTTTGCATTCTTGCACTTTCCAACCTATTTCTTGAGCTTCAGTTGTTGCAGATAGCTTCCTCTAGCCCAAAGAATGTCCTGGCTCTATGTTACCATACCATAATAAGAGACGTAATCTGTGCACTTGTACAGATTATGTATGAATGAATGTTAAGCCAAAAAATCATGAATTTTCATTAACTAAACAGGGTTCCAATGTGACTATATATACACCACAATAGAGACCAAAATACACGTTCATGTGTACAACAGACTAATTAACTAACTAACTCTATATATCTAATTATTTATTCTCAACAGTATTATATCATTAAACATGAAATAGCAATTAAAGTTGTTACATTCTTGACTTTCAACTTGACTGTCATTTATATCTTCGAAGGAGTATACGTATGGGCATGCATCTATTTGTTCTTTGCCTCCTAACAATTCTTAGATGTAAGGTAAAATTATGTATAGTAGATTAGGATTTAATATACAATTTCATCAGTATAAATGGATTTTGCGTTTGGCGGAAAATTGAAACAAAGGAATACTTTCTAATAGTTCCTCTATAGCTTCTTTATTAACAACCTAGCAATTTGGGAACCCAAAACGCAGATTCCAGCTCTGCAGAGTACAAAATCTGCAAATCAGTGCATGTCTTGTTATATATATTTATATAGCAAGAGCAAGATCAAATCTTGAAATTTATAACATAAAAACAAAATATTTTAGTTTCACCTACGAATGACCTGTAGATTATAAGATCTGTAAAGAAGATGGATCACAAAATTAAATACCCCACTTCAAGAAATTTTAGAATATCCCCCACTTTGAATATGGATAGGATAGGGATGACGATGTGGGCTTCCTTTTTATGACAGTCATACCAATAAGTAGGAATCACTATTCTTTTCCATATCTCTCTTTTAAATTTTCTTAAAGTCACTTTAAATTATGCAAACCACCCCACTTCGCAGGATACAAGTTAAAAGTTTGGTTTTAATCACACTATTGAAAATAACAACTATTACAATGAAAACGTTTTTCCTTTTTTCCCCTTCATTGTGAAATATAAAGTTGTAATCAAACATGATAATGAAGCCATAATTAATCTTCCAAATTATCTTGGTAAGATGTCAATTGGTCATGTTTAGGGAAACTTTGACGGATTTTTCCTAGTGGATATAACCGCTTATACAAGATCTAGAGTTTGAGTTCGTATAAATGTAAAAAATTCTTTTGAGAAAGCTACACTTAATTGGCCAGCGCATGTCAATTCTTGAATCTAACTGAATCATATAGCCATATCAAAAATTATTATAAAAATGTGCTGGCTAAAAGAGGGGGGAAAAAACAGGCTAAACATTCAACAAAAAATACCTATCAAACCAAGGGCGAGAGTCTCTTATTTCTTTGTCCTCTGTTCATGAAACATTTTTTTTTTTTTTGTGAACTGAAACAAATCAGACAGTTTACAACCTCTGACAGCTTGTGATTTATCTTGTTCTTTGCCATACCAGGTTTGTATCTCTCAGGTCTCTCCAGGTAAACGCAAAGTAGGCTTACTTTATATGGAAGGAGCATAAAGCTTTAAAACATGAGACAGACTGATCACACTTTCTTAATTTCGAAATGTGCTAATTATTTTTACAGCTTGAAATTAATATGATCCATCTTCTTTTCACATCACATGAATATATTACACAGAGCATATACAAAAAGCTAAAGGTTTGAAGAAATACACCAAAAAAAACATCGATCGACTAGATAAGTCATAACAATACTGTCTTTTACTTGCGTTTGCTGCAAATAAAATATTTCATGCATAGACTATAATAAGCGCTTGCAATTTAGCTCCACCAGGGGCCTGTTTGGTATCATGAAATTAGGAGGGTAGAAATGGATATGGAAATGGAATTGACAATTTATCTTGTTTGGTTGGCTAAAATTAGATTGAATTGAGTTTTCACATGAAGTTCATTTCCATCAAAATTGATGAAAATCATTTCCATAATAAAAATCAAGTTTTGCAGTTTTATGATGCATTTTTATTTTTACCCCTCCCTCTCGATTTTTTCTTCTTTATATTAGCCCTCTCTTGTCTCAACCTTCTAATGATCGACTTGCCAGATTGGATGAAGACGACAGCAACGGTGACAACCTCTTCTCCATCTCCTTCATCGACAATGATGACAAGCACCAAATCTGAAGAGAGAATATAGCTAACACTTGTTCTTCATCCTCCTTCTTCATCGACAGTGATGGCAATGATGACGATGATCTCCATCAACAGCAATGACAAACACCAAATCTGGAGAGAGAATATTTGTGTCGATCTCATAGCCTACATCTTTTGTACATTTGCATCTTTCTTCATTCCTTTGCATAGATCATCGATTTATTCTCAAATCTGGGTTCTAATTTTTTTAGATTGTTGTTGTTGATTGGATGGAGATTTGGCTGGTGGTTTTTCAGGTAGGCGGTCAATGAATTTTTTTCCCCTAATTTTGGAGGGTACTTTAGTATTTTTATAAGTAAAATATACATATTAATTAAATATTATATCAAGATTTCATGAACATACCAAACTTACTTTTAAACTTCATTTTCATTTTCACTTATGTTCATTTTTCTTTTCATATTCATTTTTATTTTTATCAAAATTATTTTTATTGTACCAAATGAGGCATAGAAGATGGAGGTGGATGCAGCCATGGTGGGTCCCTTCAAAAGTCAAGATGGCTATATATATATATATATATATATAATATAGATATGGATGTATGGGCAGAGAGAGAATAAAAAACACTGACTCCAAGTATATAATATTTTTCGCTCAACGACGAAGCCTTCTCAGTAGGCAAACCAATTGGCAGAATGGAAATAATGATGTGGCTGATGAGGCTCAATCATATTATAGAGAGATCCAATGTTCACTTTTAGCGCATTAGTTTTCACGTGTCAGAAATTTTGACGATTAGCAGAAGTGCTCGCAACGGTACAAAACGAGGCCACCAATAAATATTAGATGGTGCTTTTTGATGCGTCCATCATATACCCCACTGGGTCTGTATGGAAGGAAAACAAACCAAAGAAGCTTTTCAACGCCTGTATATATGTGTGTGTGTGTGTGTGTAGATCCTCTTAGCTTGAATATACGTCTGGGAGATTCAGCAGAATCTTGAAGCAGCAAAATACAATGGCGAGATCCGTGAGTTCGTCTGTGTTCACTTTGTTGATAATGGTGTGGCTGTTGTCGTCCATGCCATCATCATCAGAAGCTCAGGTGGTGAAAAAGAATCACTGTGATCCATCTTCAGCTTCAGCCCAGTTGCAGTCTGACTCTGCTGTGTTTTCGAGGAATGTGAAGGTGAACTTTAATGGCGGATCCGATCACAAACCCAAACGGGTGAGCCCTGGAGGCCCAGATGGACACCACCACTTCAAAATCATCGACGACGTCGTTAGTAGAAGGACTTGACTTGAGGTTGATCATATCATAACATGTACTATATCCACACACTACGTACTATTATTGTTGCATCCATATTGATGTTACTTAATTATAAGCTTCAAATTTGCTGGTGGTGTTTTGTAGGTCAAGCTTTGTTAAGATATGCACGTGCGCGACAAATCAGGACGAGCTATTTCATCTACAGAGCCTAAAACCCTTTGGATTGGAGAGCATATTCAATAGGGATAGCATGTCCCCGAAATAAATTTAAGTGTGGTCAGGAAGCTTTTCGTTTTCTTTCTTTTTTTTGGGATAGATGTCATGTTTTGAGTATTTCAATTATTGAAGGAACTTGGGTGTATATAATATATATCCTACAAATATTGCTAATTACTAATATTACAATTACTAATTTAAAAATATCAATATCAATTTTACAACCGCATGCGCCACACAAGTGCGTAAAAATACTCGATTGATGCATCTTCATCGCCGAAGACTTCAGGGTAAACGCTTGAAGAGGCCAAAATACAGCCATCAAGTGTCAGATTCATAACGTTGTATGAGGTTTTACTGACAGATTTAAGAGATCCAGTCTAGAGAAAATAACTTTGACCCTAAATTCAAATGATGACTGGTAACCTGACGGCATTGATATGTGATAAAGCAGCGAAAAATGTACAGTAGAAGACGAGAAATTATTGTCCACCTAAATGTACACAGACCTCTGCATGCGACGGTTTGCCTCCCATCAAGTTTGAATCGCCTTGGACATCACAAGTTTCTGAACCTTCCGAATGTTCACAAATGTTAAGGCATAACCAGAGTTTATTTCTATAACAAATTAAAAATGAAGAAATGACAGGAAAGGAGATGATGAGGATATTTTTTCTTCATAAATGGGATGATTCAGCATCAACAAGTTATTGTCATTTACAACTGCTCGAACTATTAATTCCTTCGCTTCCTCGTGCTTCTTTTTCAGCTTATTGCAAATCTGCATGAAAATCACATTTAAAAACTTTCAGTGATGCTACGATTTGCTTTTCTTTTTTCATTTTCTGTTTTTCCTTTCTAAGATACTGCATGCCTGGATGAATATGCCGTTAGCATGGGAAAATTTATGAGAGATTGTGTCAAATTTTAAAATAATTGCAATCAAAAGTACAACAGCAAAAACATTATCCCATCAAGTAGAGTTGGCTAGATAAATTGCATAACACTAACCCCCTGATTAAAAATAATAATAATAATAATAACAACTAGTTTTTACTCACATCTTCAAGTTCCTTTGTATATGCTTCAGCCTTTTCGACATTGCTGTTGTCTTCCACAAATGCAGAAGCGGGTAGTTTCACTTCCATCAGGTTAATCCCCGATGGACATTGAAGTTCCGATGTGGGAGTATTGCAGAGTAAGCTGTTGGGCCTACTCTCTTTAGTCTCTACCTGAATTTCATGAAAGTAAAACTGGGTGCTTTATAAAGAGAAACAAAACTGGTATTTAAAACTTTCAGGATTAAAATCCTCATCTCGTTGCATGTTACCAGTCGTCATCAAATATGTCAATGCGTCAGATACGATACTCCCAAGCCCTAAATAATATACCTTTTCAACAACTTTTTCTGGACACTCCGTCGAATTGCTGCAGTTATTTAGAAATATATTACTGGTCCAGCAACGAATTAAAAAAGGAAAACAACAAATAATAAAAATAATTAGTTGTTCAGTAAAACCTGATTTCACTAGGACAATGACGGAGTCGCTTCAGGGACGTTAGGGGCGCTAAGTCCGCTTCCGAAACCTGCAAATTTTGAGTATAGTTGTACTAAAATTTGGTTTAAGTATGTGTATGATTTCTTTTTCACGAAAAGTTATGGAAGCTTCAATTACTATATTTGTGATGTTCTTCCTAAATTGCACATTCTTTTCTGAAAGAGAAAGAAACAAGGTATACATAATACATTCCAAGTTTCCAACAACCGATAATTAATTGATTGATTAAATGATTAAAAGTTATAGTTAATACTTATCCTTTTGAATTTTGAAATTAAAAAAGGAGGGAGAGGGTTATATGCAATTGTTTACTCATTTATCAATTACTTAAATTAATTGATTATGGGCCAAATGAAATATGTCAGACTGGGGAGTGGGGACCCAAATTTTCAACAAACTCCAACCAGAAGCGGGAAAACCTAGTGGGAAGAGGATCGTGGATCAAACGACATAATTTTTTTAAAAAATGACCCTAGCCTTGACGGCAGTATAACAGATATGACAATAGGATGCTAAGGGAAATCATGGAGCGGATTCAACCTACATGAGGGGTTAGTCCTTCCTTCAGTCATCCAGAAAGGGAGAAAACAAAGGAAGGGGGGGTCATTAAACTCCAAACCTCATTAGTTTTTCTTCTCTTCAAGAAAGGGATCGCAGGATTTTGATTCCCAGCACTTTCAAGAAGATGGTCAATCTTTGCTGTTATGCCTCGCATCTCCATATATTCAGAGTTTAGTGGGGAGTTAGTTTCTTTCAGATGTCTATGAGCTGATAATCCCTTGTCAGTTTTAACACCCCTGAGATAACATATCAGCTGTCACTCAAAGCCAATTACTTGTTAATTGACTGATGAATAAGTAGTACACTTAGCATCATACTTTGGAGTCTTATAGCCGATCTTCACAGCTTTAATTGAAGAAAGTTTGTTTTCATCTATTGTTACCCTTAAATTCTTAAAGGATTCCTTCTCTGAATTTTGAGCATGAAGATTCGCAGGAATCTTGTTAGCATGTCTAGCTGCTTTCTCATTTAAGCAGGAAGGATTAACATGAGAACTGCAAAAACACCCACAGAAAGGCAAATTATGAGCCATCAGTATTATAATCCCCAGAAAGTCTTTTTGAAATGAAAACTAAAACATCTGAATGAAGTCTTGTAAGGTAATTGCATAGCATAACCATTTCAAAACCAAATCATACTGAAACAAGCAATTAACATGCAGAAAGGAAAGGAAAGCAATAACAATGTGAGAGTCCAGTATTGATCAGTCAGCAATATGGTCAAGAGAAAACCATTGTAAACTAAGCATCAGTCTGAACATTAAGGCACAATTTATTTAACAACAGAAAACCAGACTGCAATCATTACCACACATCCTTTCACTGTTCCATGATAGGATGTGATTTTCATTGATTGAATCAATGAATTTGAAGTACTCATATGTATATGCATCATCTACAAATTCCTCCCCTATACATTCACATATTTATTTATCCATTCTTTGGCTAATATTTTTGCCACTATCAAGGAAAGCAATAACAATGTGAGAGTCCAGTATTGATCAGTCAGCAATATGGTCAAGGGAAAACCATTGTAAACTAAGCATCAGTCTGAACATTAAGGCACAATTTATTTAACAACAGAAAACCAGACTGCAATCATTACCACACATCCTTTCACTGTTCCATGATAGGATGTGATTTTCATTGATTGAATCAATGAATTTGAAGTACTTATATGTATATGCATCATCTACAAATTCCTCCCCTATACATTCACATATTTATTTATCCATTCTTTGGCTAATATTTTTGCCACTATCCAGGAAAGCTAGCACTTATCAGGCCGAATGTTTCCCGCCAACTGCTTCTTAAGGATAAATAGTATCAAGAGAATTCTTTTGCCAATTTAGTCCATATTAATGCAAGTTGCCAAAGCTTATCATACAAAGTCCTGTTTATATGGTTACTTGTGTGCTTATGTATTATACTTCCAAATTGAGTAGTAATGATCGAATAAAGCTGCCTTACCTCAGAATATTAACATCTTTAGAGGACATATCAGTATCTAGCAACGTGATTTTGCTTTTCTTTACTTCTTTGAGAATTGGCTGTTTGGTTTCAGTTAACTTTCCTCCATTTTGAATATCATCCGAAACAATACCCTTCCTAATCATGATCACAAATGACAGCCACAATAATAGCAAATAGCAATCAAAGTTCCACAAATTCATCGCATGTGCAATTACTTAATCTTTTGAGAAATATAGGAACTTCTAGTAGATTATTGAGATACAGGAATAGATATCTGACCCGGCATTAATAAGAATTTTAACATCATCTTTACCACCAAGCAATGTCAATTCATCTCTCACTGATTTGGTGGCAGGTGGAGTTGAATCACTAACCAATCTAGTTCCACATTCTGCGTCATTCGATTTGAAGTTATCCCTGTTGAAAGCTTTGTAAGACACAATACTATTGAAAGGCAAAAAATTATAAATGTTGTGACAAGCATGACATACCTTGCTTTGATTATGGATCCAAGCTGCATGTCACCAGTTATTTTGCAGCCAAAGAAGGTGCCCTTAGTGCTAGTTGCCAATGACTTCTGATTTAAAAGAACGTTGTCCTCTGATTTGCTGAAAAATATTGACTGCATACGTTTGATTTTTTTATCTTTCACCAGCATCATTTCATCAACTACAGGTTTACTGCATCAAGTGATAAAAAATTGTTAAAAACGATGTAAAATTCAACTGAAACATGCTCTTTGCACCTTCAAGTAAGTACTTCAATGTTCAATCCTCATTTTACAGGACAGGATATGAATTGAGTGCGCACAACCATCAGCAACTTAAGCTATTCTAGAATAAAATTACTAACTTATGTTGATTCCTAACCCAAAAGACAATAAATAGTTAGACCTGCTTGTTGTAGCCAAATGATCCTCCAAAGTTGATTTTTGGTTTTCCTTTAAGTCATTGTCAAGCGAAATCTTCTTTGACACATCTTCCGTAGTATTCTTTTCAAAACTTGAGTCATTCTTAACTGGATGAGGTTCACCTGTTGCTTCTGCTTGGGTGTTGCTGCCAAACTTATTCACTTCTTCATCACTACTTTCTAATTTTTTTATTTGAAGTGAGGATGAATTCTCTAATGGTACTTTTACTCCATGAGGGTCCACACATATTGCCTTATTATTAATGACATTTTGCTCACCACCAGAACTAGTAATTATTTTTGTGCCCGGAGAATAAACTTCAATATGCTGATCTGGAATATTGTCTTGGTTTGAGACATTCCGGTCAATGGTTTGAGAAGATGGGTTGTCAATCTCTTGAGATAATGATTCTGAGTTTCTGCTCATAGGTATTTCTCTTTTTTGATCCTTTTCTTCTGTTCTTAGAGCTGAAGATCTAGCTTCACCTAACATGTCCAGCTTCCCAGATGATGAAACTTTCGGCACAGAATCATCCTGCATGAAATCTAGATCCCTTTCATTACCTTCCATAGTATACACTTTTGAGCTTTCCACCGTCTCTGATGATTGAGGCTTCGAAATTATGGCATCAGTAGATGCACGGCCATGTTCATCATCGTTGGTTTTAGGTTCTTTAGCAACTTCACTATCAATTTCATGTGGAGTAACTCCTTTTTTAGCCAGATTGGTGGTGGAGGTCCTATTTCCTTTCAACAAGCTTGAATCAAGATTGAAGCTATCCATCCTGAACCATTTAAAGAAACAGTAATCATGAGCTTCAAGTATCAAAATTGCATCCTTGAATAATTTCTTCCACTTACTCATTGAAATCAAAGTTGAAATCAAAACTGCGTCCTCTTCCTTCTTTTGCACCAGAACATTCTCCTGCTTTATTCTCCTTAGACTTTGCAGGTTTTTTGGGTGAGCAGGAAAAATCAAAGTCTGGCATGTCTCCTTTATTCTCACGTTTCTCCGGTGAGCATGTAAAATCAAGGTCTGATATGTCTCCCTTACTCTCCTTAGACTTTGTAGGTTTTTTGGGCGAGCATGAAAAATCAAGGTCTGACATATCCATCTTAAATGATGATATCTTATCAAACTCACCATCCAGACTGAAATCCATGTCCCTATAAACAAAAAAGTTAGTATATATTTGTAACTACTTTTTGGCTGTAAATGACTGCATAGCTTCGGGAAAAGTAAAATAGCTCACATTCAACTTAATTCATCATCATATTACACTCCCCCCAGTATACGAGCAAAATATAAATAAGGAGAAAATGTAAAATCATCATTCCAAAACAGTGGTTTCATTGTGCATTGTCAATAATATACTTACTAACATTATTTTATTTAGAAACAAATAACTCTAACTTCAGCATGACCTACAGTTTTCTGAAATTGAATGGCTTTTTCTTTCCTTTAGTAGTAACACTGTCAAAGCTAAAATCCATTGCATCATCATCTGCCACAGATATTGATTTCCAGGAGCTAAGAAAGTCCTTTCCAATGCCCTCTTCTGTTCAAAATAAAGAAGGTAATGGTTACATTATATCACATTGTCACTGTTGTAACTGAAAGAAGAAACAATAATTGGTGTCCGCAGGGTTAGCAAGAAATGCATTCTCACATTTATAAGAAATTTTCAGAACTTAGAATTTTGCAGCAATACATAGAACAATTAAAACAAGATATTATATAAGATCAGTCATGTAAAGCAAGTAGCATCCCTCAATTGTTTTTATTTTATTTTATTTTATTTTTTTGTTGGGGGTGATGAAACTGTGTTTCAGAGTATATTATTATCTCCAAACTCCATTTTTTCTCATTTCATGCTTCTCAGTCCACATAAGAAGTCCAATAATGAGATTCAATGTAGCAAGGACTCTAGTAACAGCAAAGCTATATGGTGGCAACTATTGGTTTCTTTTTGTTGTCACACTTGCTTATATATGTTATAAGCCATCACCTGCATTATTGCTAAAACAACACTGCAAAATGGAAATGCATCACGTAATGTCAAATTATAAATTCATTACTGCTTGTCATACTTGTTTCCATGAAAATATTATGTAGAGTATACTTGTCATAATAATGGTATCCTGGATACAAAGGTAAAGTCGGAGAATAACCTTTCAGTGAAGTTCCCTCCTTTGAATCTACAGATGAGGTTTCCTGTTGTTGGTCTGTCATTATTTGAAACTGTAAATCTTCTGATTCGCTTCTCAACTACACTGAAATTGTCATATTCCAATTCAAAATGTTGATCTATGAATGCCACCTAGTAGGAAAGGGGAAAATACTAAAATAAAGTAGGAAAAGGAGAAACAATAAAATAAAATAAAAATGGCATCGAGTATGATAGATATTTGGGGGAAAAAAATGGGAAAACACTTAGGTGTACATGTCAAAATGACAATATATATATATATATATCTCCTTTAGCGACTAGGTAACAGCGAGAAAGAAAGGAAATCAAAACGGGAAGTAAAATAATGTTATCGAGCATTGTGTTCAAGTCAGCCATAAAAGCAAAAAAATTTCACTCAGTTCAAACAGAATTAACCACTTTCAAATTGACACATAAAATTAGAGCATGAATTTCTACGGCGTAATCTATACATTTAGAGGCATTCGAGTAGTGTCCGAACGCCTTGTATCATAGGTGGACCTATATACTACACTGCCCCCGTTGAAATCTTTGTAATATGCATAGTTGATATAATAACATTTTAATATTTGTTCCAGATGCTTTGACACAACTCAGCCAAGTCATTCACAAGATCATAAATCACAAATACCTTGAGAATTTTCTAAACTGATGATAATATTAAAAGATTAATAAACAGAATACCAATACACAACAAATCCAACATCGCAAAACAACACAATCCAAATCATACAAGCCGCTAGTAATCAAAATGAAGAAGAAAGAAGCATAATAGCCAATTACACATCATTCAAGCAAAAACTAGTACCAGGAAAAAAAAAAAATCAATCCGTAATATTCCCAAATTCAAAGCGTCAATATTAAAACGATCACACGACCAGATTCGAAGCCAAATTAAAATGAAAATTCAAAACAAACGAAGAACAAACACGCTGGGAAGAGAGCTGGGGAACAAATTCAAATCTAGATTCAATGTCAGATTGAACAAATCAATCTCACAGGATTTTGGAAGTAGAGAAAGCCCTAGAGTTCGAACCTTCTTCAATGCTTGCCTGAGAACAACCAAGCAGGCCTGACAACGGTGAACGGCGTCCGACGGAGTGTGGAATACTTGTTCGTCGATGAGTAGAAATGGATCCGCTACTCACGAGGAATGATAAGGAAACAGATGAAAAAAATCCACAGCTACAAGGTAGAGATGAATTTGACAGCTTCCAGTGGAGAGTTATGGAGTGTTATTGTTCAAAACTACTTCAAGCATCCGCGAGCAACGGTTCCAAACTTCAAAAGGCGGGAACTCGCGGAATTCATTGATTCTTTTTTCTTCTTGCTCAGGGTATAAATATTTTATTGAATGTGATAACGCTAATTTTTCAAAATTATAAGAAGCGAGTGATTTTATATCAATTACATAAAAAATTGATACTATATTATTCACAGAATAAAGAAAATGCGTATATATAATATGCTCTATTTATTTAAAAAATATAAAATATTTTTAATTAAATCTTATTTATTAGTAAAATAATTACTTGTCTTTAAATTAATATTATCTTTGTATATTTATCATTATTTAATAAAATATTTTATTCTAAAAAAAATATAAAGTAATTTATTTATTAGAAATATTTAAAAAAATGTAATAATTATATCTTGAATAGTTATTAATGGAATTAAATGAGATGGGATGGGATAGAATGGGATGGAGAGAAACGAAATGAAACACTCCATTATTTGGGAGGGAATAAATAATTTTATTTAATTTAAAAATAATTATAAAATTAATAAATTTTAATTAAATATAATTATTTTTTTAAATTTCACAGTGAAGGAAGTGAAAGAATAAAAGTTGGTGAAAATTGTAAAAGAAAGAGAATAATTTTATAATAATATTATTTATATCATATATTTTATTCTCGACTCTCTAAAATGGAGGTCAATAAAATCATTTTATGACAGTAATAGATGGTTTGAAAGTAAAGTTGGGAATAAGGATCGGGCTTGATGGGCCACCCATTTAAACTCGTTTTTAATAAGAGTTTGGGCTTAAAAATTTAATGGCTTTTAGGATAATCGGGCTTCGAAGCCCAGCCCTTTTAAGCCCTAAAAAAAGGGCTTGGGCCTGGACGGCCTGCTAAGCTCGTTTATTTATTTATTTATTTTTTTGCTTTTATATTGAACTTTAGAGAATGGCCGAATTGGGGTTGAACTTCCAACCTTCAAAGAAACACTACGTAACACACTTGTACACAGTCTCTCAATCTCTCACTCTCAAACCTATAACAAAGTTGAAAATAACATTTTATTTGTGGATGGTGATGAGGGAGATCTTAATTAGTGTTGATAATGACTTTTGTCTTTATCTTATTTGGATTTCTAAATCTTGTGTTTATTTTTTAAATTATGTGAGACTTTGATTTGATATATCTTAAATTTTAAAATACTCTAAATAAATTAAAATATTAAATTTTATTTTATTTTTTTTCGTAAACGAGCTTATGGACTCGGCCCTAAGCCCTTTGAATAAAGGTTGGGTTTCAATTTTTGGGTGAAATTGGGGCAATTGGGCTTTCAGACTTAGGCCCATAAGGGCTGAGTCCAAATAGGTCGAGCCTGCCAGTTTACCAACTTTATTTGAAAGGCCATCATATCCCCACCCATTCCATCTTTTGAAAACAAAAAACAAAAAAAAAAACAAAGAAAGAAAATTTTCCAAACATCACCTGAGCAAGTTGTCAATCTTCCATCTGTGTGAGAATTTTTTTTAACTGGGTAGCCAAACGTTGCAAGCAGCTTGACGATTCAGACTTTTTTTTAAGGGGTAAATTTTGATAAGTGTAACAATTTTATTTTTAAATTATTTTTTCGAGAAGCATTAGGTACTCTATAAAAGTGGTTTTTTTCCCCTCGAAAGAATAGTTTAAAGATAAAATTATCTTACTTATGAGTACAATAATAAAATGGGAGAATGATATTGTTGTCAATACAGTTTAATTCAGTTGTCAATGGACCTTACAATAATTAATTTTCTTATGTGAAATCTAACTATAATTCTCCTTAATAAAATTGCTCCTTGAAAAAAAAGCTTAATGGTAAAATTTCACCTCAGTTTTTTTTTTAATACCGCTGTGCTTCCCAAACCCCAAAGTCCGAGGTTTTTAGATGAGTTGTTTATGGTGCAGGAAAAGAAATATCAGAAATTAGATTTTGTTTTTGTAATTTTACTTTCATATATTTGTTGTTAATTTTAAAAAATAAATAAATGCAAAAATGCATGAGATTCATCAATTGATAAATTAGTAATAATAATTAACGAATAGACTTAAAGTTAGAAGCACACATTATTGTTTTGGACTCCATGCATGAAATGATCTCTTCTATTATATTTTTAAATTTTAAAGATACAGAAATTATTTTTATATATAAACATATATATTGATATTTTGATGATAATAGGGTAAAGGCAAAGCACCCGAATTATATTATTCTAGCTCAAAATAGTCGTTGGGCTAGTACAACCCATAATGTGTCCACAACCCTGAGCAGACATAAAATGAATAATATCAAAATCACAAGTTCGCTAACCAATCTGCATTCTCTCACAACATTGAAGAACTTATGGATGAAGATTAGGTAAATGATTCTCTTGGAGATGATCTTCTAAATGAAGACTTCAAGAATTCTAACATAAGGGATGATCTTGAAGATGACGATGTTAGTGATGAGAAATTAGAGGAAACGCAAGCTATTACCAACATTTAACCTCCCCCAAGTTTTTTAACTCTTTTTCCTTCTTATGGAAGTATTACATTAGAATTGTAGGGGAGCTTGTGCCAAGAGTTTTCCCTCTCGGTTAAGAGAAATCACTAGAATGTATAACACTTAAATTCTCATTTTAATTGAAACTAGAACTAGTAGGACCAGAGTTGATAATATTGTTAAAAAACTTGGCTTTCCTAATTGGATTTGATGGAAGCAACTAGCTATGCAGGTGGTATTTACTTCTTGTGGAATGATGATGTGATCAATATTGAATATATTCACTCCAATATTCAACTTCTATACTGTAAAGTCAATATTTTATCTAATAATACCTCTTATTTCCTTTCTTTTGTGTATGGGGATCTTAATCCAAATAATCGTAACAACTATGGGACTTCATAATCAATCTCGCTGACAACATTACTGATTCTTGGCTTGTAGTTGGTGATTTTAACACTTACCTTTCTTGTGATGACAAGAAAGGTGGCCACAAATATAATTGGAGATCAATGAGACAATTTATACAATGTGTCAATTCTTCCAATCTCCTTGAATTAAGCTATTTCAAAGATAGATTCAATTAGGAAAAAAGGGCTGTAAAAGAAAGATTGGACTGGGCCTTTTGCAACATTGAATGGAGACTCAACTTCACTCATGCTAATTCTTATCACCTCCTTAAACATGGCTCAGATCATCTTCCAATCAGAATTCAGCTCATGAATAATGATCTACAAGGATATTCCAATAAGCTTGATAGGGGACGCGAAAGTAGAATCATGCTAGTTTAGGGATAAAACCCTAAAACACAACAAAAACAAAAAGAAATAGAAGAAATTTATGATGAAAATAAAGAAAGAAATGAAATAAACAATGAGATAATGATCAAGAATAAGATCCTTTAGAGCACTTGCCTCTAGAAACCTTAACCTTCAAAGACACCACAAGAGTTGATCACGCTCTTAATCACGCCTGTTTCTCACATGGGATGCCACCATAAGTACTAAGGCTCATGAGAATTATAAACACTAAAATGAATAATTTCATTCAACTTCTCTTCCATTTACAAGAGGGAGTATGCCTAATATATATAGGCTCATAGAGAAAACTATTTCCTAAAATTAAAACCCTAATTTCCTAATACTAAAAGAAGAAAGAAAATAATATAAAATAAATATTCGCCACATAATTTAGGAGATGTGATCCTAAAATTATGAGATTACAAAAATTAAAAATTAAAATAATATAATTAATCTTAATCTTTGACTAGACTCAAAATAGAAAACTATGACTAGTCTTGCTTTTTAAGAAAGGGAGTCAAGTCAAAGGACCATTAAAATAGGAAATAATTTAGGAGACAATCAAGAAATCATAAAGAATTTAAAATCATGCCACCCTTGACTTCTTCACTAGGGATTCATGCCTCCTTACTTGCAAGAGGCTTGACTTGTAGTCTTCCTTGCATTGGGCTAGGTTTTGCATTTCTTAGACTTGACTGTTTGTGGATTTAGATTTTAAGCACATTATACACGCTTAGAGGCTCTCCTTTAGGCTTGAGAGGAGTGCACTAATGCTCTTCAAGCTCTTGGACTTCTTGCAAGATTAAACAAGGCTTGCTTCATGGCTTTAGTTCGAGCTCTTGTTATTGGACCTCTAATATGTTGTAAAGGGTCTTTAGGCACGTTGAATTGGAAGTGTTGGGCTCCTTATTCCTTGCCTTAGGCTTCTTTCATACCACCATGCATATGATTACCATCCTTAAGCTTCGTTATCATTAACGCCATGTTATCTGTGCCATGGGGTCCATCAAAGCCTTTTAAATGTCATGCTACTTGGATGCTTAAGGATTCCTTCAATAACATTGTCAAAGAATCCTGGGCCAATAAGAATTGGAAAGAAGGTACCTCCAAACTTGCTATTTCAACTACATGGTGGACTAAGGATAATATTGGCAGTATTTCCTTGAAAAAGAAAAGGATTCTGCACTTAAAGGAATTGACTGCAATTGAAATCATCAGGACAATTACTTCTTTAAGAGACTTGAAAAATCTCTATGGGAAGAGTATAGTAAAGTTCTTATGTAAGAAGAGTTGATCTGGTTTTTAGAAATTTAGATACAAGTGCCTTAAATGGGGAGATAGAAACACAAAATTTTTTCATGCCACAGTGGTTATCAGGAAGAAAAGAAACTAGGTTCTATTCCTGAAAGAAGAAGCTAGTAACTAGATTCAGGACTAAAGCATCCTAAAAAATATGGCTAACTCCTATTTTCAAAACCTTTTCAAAGAGGAGGATTGCAATAAACTTGCTTTGATTACTAGTAGAAATTTCCCACATCTCTTACCAACCCAACTTTATTCCATACATAAAGAGGTGACTGATAAGGAAATTAAAAATACTGCTTTTGATATTGATGCTTTCAAGGCTCCTGGTCCTGATGGCATCAATGCTAGTTTCATTTATTCTTATTAGAATGATGATAAAGATAGCATCATCCATCTTATCAGAAGGGCTTTCAAATAACCAAATATTGTCAATGAAATTAATGATACCTTCAT